AGCAGGTCTAAACTTTTTATCCTATTCCCCTGAACTGAGAAAAAGAAATGTCTCTAATCCAGTTTGAGTGTTTACATCATCTGTAACAGCACACGGACATACAAAAGCAAAGCATAACCTGTTTCTCAAAAGAACAATCATTAGTACTTTTAACTTTAAGCATCGGAAGATATTGGTGATCTAAACAAATTAAAACAGTCAGACTTTATTTCCCTGCTTTAACAGTAAATGAATCACTGATATGAAACAGAGCAGCATTTAATTATTTATTTTAACACTTTTTCCACTAACAAGAGAATTGAATCCTTTTTTTTTTTTTGTGACTGACTAATCATAAATATTTAAGCCCTCTTCAAATACAGCTTTGAAAATTCAAAATCAGAAATAGTGGAACTACAGAATATGGTAATTAAGGAAATGTCCCAGTGACACTGTAAACAAACATTTAAATACCTACATACTTGTATATAGGACCAAATGCAAGTTACTGAGGAGGAAAATTAACAAAAACATGCTTAATTTTTAATTAAGGTTTTGCAGGGTGGGGGGAATTGTTTCCTTTAAAAGAAAGGAACTGAAGGTCTAAAACAATGGCAAAGTTGAGCCTTAGGCATCTAAATAATTACCTTCTGTTTTCAAGGCTCAGTCCTCTGTCTATAAAGAAAACTGCCGTGTACTTGGGGGGGGAAAGCCAATAACTATAAAAAACACTTTGTATAAGTTTAGGTCTTCATGAGACATTTCTTTAACTTAAATGGAAGAATATTACATTTAATGCTTTCCATATAAGAAGTACTGCATGACAACCCAGGTACTTTCCTCTCCATTTCGGGAACCAAAGGTCACTCTGTTGGCTGCATCTGATAAACTCTAAAGCAATCCAGGAGTCTTGCTCCTTCTAGGAGTCCGGAAGCACCAGACAAACTGATTTGCTCCTTCCTGTTTCAGAAAATTAAAAATCTCACTTATACTCAGAGGAGTCTAAAAAGCTCCAACAAAAAGGTCTTGCAATGTACTTAACCAAAGCCAGAAGCTTGTCAAAATCAAGTGCTAGTAGGACAAGACAGAAGGAATTGAAACCTTCTCTTGATTCTTGCCGAAGAAGCAACAAACATGTGCTTGAACTTGTCAATGGCATTTTTTTGTAACTTTGGTGATGATTCTGCACCTTCCCTTCAGCAAACTGTTGGGGTTTTCGGTAGCAAAGAACAGTCTTGTGGCAAGCAGGTATCTGCCAAGGCATATAGTACAAAAGGATGTTGCTCATGGTGCAAGGACTACAATGCTGATCAATGTAATTATCTCCACACATGGCCCAGAAATAACTGTATCTGAAAGGAAGGCTAATATTAAACTCTGCGGTGCTATACCTTTACACCGTGAAGAGCACAACCTTACCTTAAAAATTCTCAGTATTTGTATTAAGACAGTGGAGACAAACCCTCAAGTTTAATAAAACCCTTGAGACTAACTTGATTTATAGCATCTGTCTTGCAACACATTTGGAAAAAAATAAAATAAAAATTTTCAGTGATCCAATTTTGGCTCATCCTAGAGAAATGCAGACTGATGAGTTCATCTTAATCCATATCTGTTATTATCATCTTTCACTATAAACTTTCATAAAGGTATTATCAGATAGTTACAAGGGCTTCTGTCAAATAAGCAAATGGTTCTTTTGCTAAATGTAGTACCTATCAGCCCAACTGACCTGGAAATAAAAGCATTTACTCTCTTATTGGAGTTTTAGTAAAAATTCCCAGCATCCAACTGCATTTCTCGCATTACATCCCATTGGACTCTATGAATTGCAATGACATGTAGCTAATTTTCACAGATACAGTTTGCATGTTGTCATCATTTTCTCAAAATACGAAGGGACAGCCACTAAGCCCTATACAGTCATGTTCCATATTTCACAACTTCTTGAATATCAGAACAAAATTTTATAAAGTGATACCTGTTAAACAGAATGGACTATACTGAGTATGTTCATATTTTGCCGAAAAAATGCGGAGAAGCAAAGAGCAAGAGGAAATATGAACATTACAGTTTCCTCACCTAATTTTACTACAGACTAGGGATTTGCTGAGTGAAAAGAAGTGATTCAGTAAAAATGTGCATCACATATCACTACTGCAAACCTTTCTTAACCATCCTTACCAAATTACTTGTAGTCATAATTAATCATCTAAAAACCATCAAATCAAACTAACATCTACACCTGCCTTTTATTTTAAATGTCTCTTTTTAAAAGAGTGGAGAGGTATGGAAAGCTGGTTTAACAAGCACACTGAACCCATTGTTTATGGCCTCTATAAACATGGCTTAGTAAGAATTACTGACTTAATCAGAGAGAACTTATCTCCTGGTGAAAAGAGCACTTTAAATTTCAGAAATGGCACCTTTACTGTGAAAATCTCTTAACTTTTCAAACAAACTCCAGGGGGCCTTAAACACCAGGTCAGTAAATAAGCAGCAGTTAGTGCGTCTGTCCTGCTCACAAGCAGCCAAACACTTGAAGTAATTTAAACGTTTTATGTGAAAGTTTGCAAAAACACTGAAAAACTATATTCTAATAGAAGTATTAAAGCGTGCTCCTCTGTCTCACTTGGATCACATGCTAGAAGCAATATTCATCAATAATACCAACACCAGTTTATATTAAATGTTATTTTATTATCACTGTCTGCAGTTGGCAGTTTTTGCATTTCCTACCATAAAAAAAAAAATTCTTAAGTTAAATTTCTTTCAGATGAACAATTTTATTGACTAGTTCACTTGAAAAAAAAAACCAAACAAAACAACAACAACAAAAAAAAACCCAAAACCAACACCCTCCTCCCCCCGGTCGAAAAACACGTTTGTGTAACTTCATGGCTAAATTCGTGTCAAAACATAAACCACGTTGATCGTGAGGTTTCATAACCAGATACAAATGTGATCAATGTATTAAAAAAATGTTGTAACAGAAAAAAGAAAACGTATCTTCCACTAATTGTTTTGGAAAGGTAAAACTCTTAACATAAACTAACTTTTTTAGTAGCTAGTTTGTACATTATATTTGAGAATATTACAGAAGTATGATTCACAAGTCTAAAATCCATTTGCTTAATGGCTTGTCTCTACTTAGTTAATAGTTTCCATGTATTTTCTTAAGAAAAACACCACAACACTGCAGACAACAATGTGTCAATCTGGCTGCCAGAAGCAGGAAAGGCAACGGATATAAAATTTTATTATTTCATGCCCCAACAGCAGCCAGAAGGACTTAATGAAATCACCCTTAGATTTACAATCTGAAATAGCTATTCAACAGACAAATGTGGTTAAGCTGGATGTGCCCCCTGACCCCCCAGCCCTTTGATCTGGGCACAGCAGGTGGGCTGCTGCCCCCTCCTGTGCATCTCCCACTCTTCCGCCCAGCTCCCAACCTTGATGTGCAGTGCCCTGATCCTGTACAGGTGATTCCCAAGATCCTTATCACAAGCAGCTGTTGCCAACTGAGTGACAAACATCACTAGTGCTGGGCTGACACTGTTGTGCCGCAGAAGAAAAACCCTCTACGCTTCCTGGGAAGTGTACTCGGTACTGCAGTGTTCGTGTTTCTTAAAACTTACCGCTCAATCATCCACACGCAGAGACTCTCTTATTAAAAACACAGCTATTATTTTCATTTTTCCAATAATTGGATAAAGACAATTCCATAAGTAGTTTGTCATATTTTTAAATGCACTTTCATGAATGCTCCTGAAGCCATGTACAGCCGTATTTGTGAGTGACTAAATTACATTTAGTTTTAAGACTTCGATTTAAGTATGTGTATACAAATATATATATATATAACCCCTTCACTTAAACCCTGTAAAAAAGTTACACTTCTTCAGTCACAGCTAGAAAAGGAACTGATTTACTAAGTATAAATAGATGGAAAAAGCAAAATATTACTCCTCATCCCAATCAAAAAATATAATTAACAGTTAACGCCACCACTGGAAGATGCCAGCCGTCAATGAATTCTCAGGGTGACTTCTGCGGCAAGGGGAAGCCACGTGGCACATCAGTACTAAGCCCAAGCTGATGTAACAGGTTTCTCAGAGTTCTGAGAGTTAGCTCAGACTCCGTGCATGCTAACTGGCATATTATCAGACTGGATCACAAACAGAGCATCCTCACGTCTACCTGAAAAAGACCAGGCAAATATGCCAAAAAGTGCTTCCAGAATTCGTGCGTGGGGCTCAGAGGACTGAACACACAGCTTTCCGTCTGCGTAAGGAAGAGACTATCGACGTTAAGTGAGATCAGCTGCCATGTTCTAGCATGTTAAAGACAGCATGAATTTTAGTGAACCTTCTTTTCCTAACATGAACGTACTTTACCCCATGCCAGGTTAAAATAAAACAAAAATCTGCTCATATAGGTTTTACGACATGCACAACTGTCCTTTACACTTAGGAAAAATGTCAGAAAATTGTTCAGACAAATGCAATGTGAAGTTTCACACACAAATTCATTCTGAATAATACTGCAAGAATTAAAATTCTGAAGTCCCAGAAAAAGTCCTTGAGTGACCGTAACATTAAAAAAAAAAAGTATAAGAAATACTTTTCTAACCATTAACTTTAAAGGTTGGTTTTGTGCCCCGAATAAAGCATGATAAGGGTGGGCATTATTGTTACTTGAACGACTGGAAGCCTGCCACGGAAGAGTGTACTGCCAGCAACTCAGTATCTGACAACTAAACAGAACTATCCCAAACAGTTAATCAACAGCACATGTGCCTAAATTCCAATAGGTAGTCTCCTAGGTCAAGGGCATTCCTCTTCCATCAGCGCCATCACACTAATAACCTTTGCTACAGAAACAGTTGCTGAAACAATCGTTTACTATGACAAAATGTAAAAGGCTGCCAGCTAAGTTTGACACCGCTTACAACACAAAGGTCAATTTAATATAATTTGGACACTAAAATAGCATACAGCGCGCAGGTACAAAATAAAACAAGATTATGAAAGGGATGTGTTCATTTGATAGAGTTTCATTTTCCTATCTCATTATTTATCAGTACTAAGTACTTATCTTCATCTAATATGAATTCAATTAGTTCCGTAAGCATGTTCCATTATTCATGTGATAGCTCCAGCCTTGCTTATCCAACAGCTTATAAACTTTTAGCCTTCTTTGAAGTCACTTTATGGATTGCTAAATGGAAATCTTATAAAGAATGACTAACTAGGTGATGATAGAAAAGCTGAAAAATAAGAGCACAAAACACAGCCCTATATTTTCGACCAAGATTTTCCCTCATAAATCAGCTGGAGCCCTCTGACCTATAACAGGAGATTATCTTATCTCACTGGAGAACATTTCAGTCACAGCAAATTAGATTTAACAGTCAATGGATATGCTTGATATTTTAATCACAAGAAAAATTTGTCATTTTCCATTAAAATAACTGTTCCTTCTCCAGAGACTCCGTGTAACATGGGAAACTGCAAACTAACTTTAAGATACACAGTGGTTTGGGAAAAAAAAATAATCTTTTGAGGTGAGAGAGAGGGTGTATTTTGTTTAAAATATTAACATTTCTGCTATATTTCTTCCAGAGGACCCATTCCAAGATAGGCAAAGCAAAAACCCACAGAAACAACACTTAACGCTAGAAATTTTTATCCTCTACGTTCCAAATTCACCCTCCCCTTTACACAAGAGCTTTCTCTGTGCAAGTTTAAGCTTCCACTAACATTTACACAACAATGACAAATTCTGCAATTGGAGCTGCTGGAGCAGAACCACGAGCCCATATATAACTGCAATTACTCCCATGGGGCTCTACGGTAGATAAAGAGTCCACCTGTCTTAACTTGAATACAAGTCTGAGGAATTAATCCCTTATCCTGAAACTAGAACATGTGGATTAACAAAACACTTTTAAAGATCTATTTGCTGAAATTTCAGCACTTAAAGAAAAATTAATACTGAATAATGACAGCAGTTGTAGTTTATGAAATTATTTTGATATGGAAAAATTAATACAATGTCTTTTTAAAAATACACAACTGCTAGATCATGAGAAAAAAATTGCTGTTGCTACTAAATTGTTATTCTAACAAATAAAACACAGGATTTTATACCTACGTATGAAGAAAAGGACAAAGACAGTAAGCTTCCAGCATCAAAAATAGGTAAAGAGTTAAACTAGGAATTGTCTAGCTCATTTGACAAATGTCATCTTTCCCTTGCCCAACACACAGAGAAATTATGCAGTACTTGCCAACAAACAGGTACAATAGCCTACTGTATGATTTTATTTTATTTTTCAACGGAAAAAGCAAAGTTAGCTGGAAGATGCATGTCTATCTGGAAGTATTCAATTTATACTTAAGAGCAGAGCGAGGAGGGAAGACAGTTTGTTTTATTTATTTAATTTATTTCATAAGGCACTTTGAATAACTGTACTTTGCCAAAGTGTGTCTGTGTTCCAGAATCTCCAGCAATTCAAAAGCCATACTGGATTTAGTACTAAACAGATTTTTTCACAAGTTACTAAAATGGATGAAAATTGGCTTCTCCAAGAACAACTCCTTTTTTGAGTTTTTACAGATGGAGTTTGGAAGGCCTACAGAGCCCTGCAATCTGAAAAACTCAGACAAAGGACGAGGTAATGGGTTTATGTAGCAAGGCAGGAGTGAGACATCATGCAAAGCAACTCCAAGGTGTAATTATTGATTTTTTTCTATACCCATTGCCAGGCTAACCATGCAGCTCTTTCTGAGCAAAAATATTTGTGAAAGCTGACAAGTATCTGTATGGACGTATTATCCCATCCTCTCCCAGGTCTCTTCCTTCTTTTTCAAATAGACAGACACCATAATAAGCATGCCAATGAAAAAGACATGCTAGATTGTTTCCTAGATATTACTTTGGTCCTGTCTATGCAGTATTCAAGGGTAATTATCAGAAACGCCTCTAACATGAGCATATGATGTGCAAATGTACACATTGACTTAAAATAATTACTTTTTCATTAACACATTGTACTGCAATTCTGTACTTTATTTAGCAATAAAAAGGGCATAAAAAAATAATCTGTAGCCAGGATGAGAAGGAAAAAAAAAAAAGAAAAGAGGTCCTGCATATTCCATCTAGCTTCTCACGAAAAAAGTGACTTCTAAAGTTACTTCACATTAACGCTGGAAAGAGGGGAAGTTACATAGCATACTAGTCTAAGTTTTAACACACAAAGACGTAGAGGATCATTATTACATACATATGCCCTAGTGAAAGAATACGTTTGATCAGTATTTCCAGAGAAATTATACGTTTTTTATGGACAACATAAGAACAAATATTCTAGTAATACGCATATTACTTTATGTGATGCAAAACTCAGCTTTGTAAATTGTTATGTATCCTAAACACCAAGCCTGAATTTCCAAACACAGGTATCAAAAACAGCGACACAAGTCAGTCGCCCTTCAAGGGCATTTGCAACTCCTACCCTTCACACTGCTTGCTAATTTAAGACCTACAAAGAGGCAACGCTTCCTGG